AAAAAAAAAAAAAAAAGAAAGAAAGAACACATGTGGGCCCACTGGAGCAGCGTCTTGGGCTACAGATGCCACTTCCCTCTCCACCACCTTCCCTGGTGTCTACGTGTCTTCATTTCTAACATGTTTAACTAGGAGCAGAGCAGTCTTGACCAGAAGAGGTGCAGGAGAGAGAGAGGAAGGGAAACAGAGAGAGAGAGAGACAGAGGGAGGGAGGGAGGGAGACAGAGAGAGAGAGAATGATAGACAGAGACAGAGAGACAGAAACAGAGGGAGGGAAGAAGAAAGAGAGAAGAGAGAATGGCAGAGAGGGAAGGAGGGAAGAAGGGAGACAGACAGAGAGAGACAGAGACAGAGAGAGAGAAGCAAGACACACTGGCCTCCCTGCAGGTCCTTTGGACCAGAGACCTCCAAAAGGATCCAATAAAACCGTGCAAGGGTCCGTGTGAGCATGTAGGTTCAACAGGCAGAGAGTGAGTGACAAAATGAGACCAGGCACCTCCAGGATCAGGAGATGTGAGGGTGTCCAGAGTTGGCCTCCTAGGCAGAGAATATACATCAGCGTCTCACCACACTGTGACAGGGGAGAAGAGCCAGACGCCGAGGGGAAGACTGTGGGCAAAGGCAGCCGGAAACCAGTCACAGCCACAGGGATCTCTGAGCATGCTTCGGAGGGTCCAGAAATTAACCAGAAGGACCCTCTGAAGTGAAACTGAACTCTGCTTCCACACAAGGTAGAGACACTTGGACTAAACTTGTGCTAGTAAACACAAGCAGAAAACAGCCAAACCACGGTCAACAGGAGCCCTCAGAGAGCTTCTGCAAAAGGTCTGAGTCATGGCCAATTTTAGGGTCTTGGCATCATTTTTCTAAGTGTACAAAATCCTGAAATTGTGGTACATGTTAAACGGTCAGTCCCATGAGTGCATTTTTGTATCCATAGTTTCACTTGGTGATAATGAAAGCAGCTAAATTCGAGGTCCCGATGTAATGTGATGTCCATGTCCAAGGTCTGCCTGAGGGCGGGGGAGAAATATATAAGACTGAAAGGTTAGATTCCAAAATGTTACCGTATGGTCACCTCTCTGGGTGCCACTAGCAGTTTGTTTTTGTTATTTGTGTTTTGGGTCTCATGACAATGAATACCTGTTTTACTTTGTGAAAGCCTGTAGTCCCAGTTACTTGGGGGGCTAAAATAGGAAGATTGCCTAAGCCCAGGAGGTCTAGGCTGCAGTCAGCCAGGATGATGGCACTGCACCCTGATACATACAGAGTGAGACCATGTATCAAAAATGCATACATTAAAATAAAATAAAAATGAGGTGCCTCATACCTTTAAAAAAGGGGGTCTGCTGGGCACCTGCCACCCCCCACCCGGTAACAGGCTCTAAAGAAGATCTGCAAGCCCTTATGGGGCCCGAAGAACAGTCCAGGAGGCTGAGATAAAGTCATACTAATTCATGATGGCTGTGCTCCATGCTGGTGTCACTGAAAGGAGGCAACTTTTGAATTTCCCTTTTTCTTTCCCGCCATGTGCTTGTCTGAGTGTCCCTGCACTGTCCTGCCTCCTCATTTCACCCGGTGCTGGCCCCTCCAGTGCCATCTCTGTATCCCTGGGCCAACTGAGATGGGGCAAGACCAGTCACTGGGGCTGGAGAACCCCCCTCCCCAGAGGGTCTGGGCACAAGTCACTGTCATTTTTTGTGTTTAAGATGCTTATTCAAGATAAATATTTGAAATCTTTTTGGCCAGGCATGGTGACTCATGCCTGTAATCCCAACACTTGGGAAGAGCAAGGAAGGTGAATTGCTTGAGCAAGGGAGTTCAAGACCAGCCTGGGCAACATTGGGAAACTTCGTCTACAAAAAAAAAAAAAAAAATGAAAACAAAATCAGCCGGGCACGGCGGTGCACGTCTGTAGTCCCAGCTACTCGGAATGCTGAGGTGGTAGGATCTCCTGAGTCCAAGAGGACGAGGCTGCCATGAGCCGTGATCATCGGGATCATGTCACGGCACTCCAGCCTGGGTGAGACTGAGACCCCCATCTCAAAAAGATAAACAAAACAAAATCTGTAATTGTGGGACACTTTGCTTTTGGCATTCCTTTACACACAGGGAAAAATAGAAAGGGGTGCTCCTCTGACCCTCCAGCGACCCTGCGACCTCAAGCAGAGTGAGGGTGCTGGGGGTCCCGGGCAGCTCCTGGGCAGGGCTCTCGGCAGGCCTGGCGCGTCGCTGGACAGTGACTCCCGACGGCCCAGCGGCCCGGGGTCAGGGCCTCTGCCCGCTCTGCGCCGATCGGCCCATCTGCGAAGTGGGGATGAGAGCACACCCGCTTCGTGGGACCAAGTAAGCGCTTGCTGTGAC